TCTACTCCACCACCAATTGAGAATCTGAGTGAATAACAACTCTCCTGGCTCCTGCGCCCGCCACTAGCTGCATGCCCTTCAACAACGCTTCATACTCTGCCTCATTATTTGAGGCTCTAAAAGTGAGCTTTACGGCAAACTCCATCGGCTCTCCTCTTGGTGGCAAGATTAGGATCCCAATACCGGCCCCTACTTTAGTTGAAGCCATCCACGAAGACCTCCCACACTCCCGGATCACCTTCCATTGTACCATCCTGAATAAAATCCGCTAATGCTTGCTCCTTAATTGCCTTTCTTGTCTCGAAACTAACATTGTACTCCTCCAGCTCGACTGCCCACTTCACCATCCTGCCAGAAGCTGACGGTCTGCCCAATGTCTCCTTCAAAGGGAAGTTTGTTCGCACCATGACCAGATGCGATAAGAAATAAGGCCGCAACTTCCTTGCCGTAACAATAAGAGCTAATGCCGCTTTTTCCACCTCCGCGTATTTCATCTCAGCCCCTTGCAACAATCAGCTGACGTAGTAAATAGGCTGCTGTCCACCCCCTTCCTCCTTCAACAGGACCGAACTTACGACCACCTTTCCCACCGAAAGATATAAAATCAGCACATCCGTTGAGTCCGATTTGGTGAGCAGGGGTAACTCAGCCAAGAACTGCTTGAGCCTAGTAAAGGCTTCTTGTGCCTGTATGGACCACTGAAAACGCGCCCCTCGTCGGAGAGCTCGAAAGAAAGGAAAACTTCTCTCTGCTGCATGGGCTATGAACCGGCTGAGCCCTGCCAAACGGCCCGTGAGAATTTGCACTTCCTTTATATTTCTAGGCGGCCTAATTTCGAGCACCGCCCTCACCTTCTTAGGATTAACTCCTATACCCCGCTCTGTAACCATATAGTCGAGGAACTTGCCTGACCTTACCCAAAACTTGCACTTCATAGGGTTTAGCTTCATCCTGTATCGTCTCAACGTCTCGAAGGTCTCCTTCAGATCCCTCTCGTGGTCATCTGCTTTCTGGCTCTTAACCAACATGTCATCCACATAAACTTCCATGTTTCTCCCCAACTGCCCCTCGAACATCTTAACCACTAAACGCTGATACGTTGCCCCAGCATTCCGCAGACCGAAAGGCATGACAATATAACAATAAGTCCCCTTAGAGGTAACAAAACTTACACGCTTCTGGTCCTCCTCAGCCAATGGTATTTGATGGTATCCCTGCGAGGCGTCCATCATGCTCAACAGTTCGCATCCCGCAGTTGAATCCACCAATTGATCAATGTGTGGTAAAGGATAATGGTCCTTTGGGTATGCCTTGTTAAGGTCCCTAAAATCCGTGCACATACGCCACTTATTCTCTGCCTTCTTCACCATGACTTGATTCGAGAGCCATTCCGGGAATTGGATGGGTTTAATGTGTCCAGCCTGTAACAACTTCTCCACCTCCTTCTCGATAACAACATCCAACTCTGTCCCAAAATGTCTCCTTTTCTGCTTGACGGGCCTCACTCCGGTGTCAATGTTTAGCTTGTGCTCGACCACTTTAGGGTCGATGCTACCAATTCTCCCGCTGCAAATGCAAAAATATCGGCATACTCTCTGAGCAGTGCCACCAACTGCCCCTTGATAGGTTCTGCCAACTCCTTTCCTACTCGCGTCACTTTTTCCTGCTCCCCTTCCACCAGAACGATCTCCATTAACTCGTCTTGTGGAACCATCTCCCCTCTAGCTTCCTTCACCCTGCTCGGGCCTTCCTTCCCAATGTTGACTGGCTTCTCCTCCCTGTATTTCCTTTTATGACCTGCCTTCAACACAGTTTGGTAACAAGTCCTAGCCAACCGCTCGTCCCCCATAACTTCATCTACCAGCTCGCCCACCGAGAATTTCATCTTCATGCAATACGTTGACACAGCCGCCTTAAATGAGTTTAGGCTAGGCCGCCACAAAATAACATTGTAGGCTGAATCCGCCTTGACCACTACAAAGCGTACCATCTTTACCTTCCTGAGAGGAGGAGCTCCCAGTGCCATCGTCAGCTGCACCTCTTCAAGTGGCACCACCTCTGCCCCGCTGAAGCCAAATAACGACGTCTTGACCGGGGTGATCTCCACACCTAGATCCATCTGCCGGAAACACTCGTAGAACATTATGTCCGCAGAACTGCCTGTATCCACCAGGATCCTTTCCACATCATATCCTGTAATCTCCGCGGTCACTACCAGAGCATCGTTATAGGGTACTAATATCCCCCGCGAATCCCCCGCACCAAACGTCAATTCCAGCACGCCATGGGCAATCTGGACCTCCACTACACTCTCCCAGTCTGCTCTTAAGTTAGCACGCCTAGCTCGATTGGAATCCCCATCCGTCGGTCCTCCATCTATCATATAGATCACTCCCTTTTTGGGGGGCCTCTCCCCCTGCTCCTTCTGCCTCCCTTTCTTTTCCCCTCTCTCAGTATCCCATCTCTTCTCCTTGTCCTGCACTACGAACTCCTTCAAATGTCCAGCCCGTATCAGTCTCTCAATCTCATCCTTAAGTTCCTTGCAATTGTTCGTCCAGTGCCCATAATCGCGATGATACCTACAGAAGGGGTCTCCTTTCGCCGGCGCCTTCCCCGACTTCTTGGGTAAGGGCTGGGGTTTCCCAAACATCATAGCCTCTCCACGCCTCTCCAACATCTCAAACACCTGCCCCCTTGGCGATGTCAGCAGAGTGTAGTGCTCGTACCTGAACCCCATACGCCCTCTATCCTCACTCCTATAATCTTTGCCCCCTGACTTTCTGTCCTCTGGCTTGTGTTTTTCATCCTGCTTCTTTCCCCGAGCGCGATCGTGCGCCTGGAAATCTGCCTCCGTTTCCT